GATAAGTTTCTTAGCGCTTCTTGCTACCAAGGAAAAGGATATATTTGTTTTGGCTGAAAATCGAGAGTAATTTATTGATATAGTGCGTGTGTTATGGAGTCATATGGATTGCAATATCTAATTTTCCATTGCTTCAATCAGTTATTCGAGAAGGGAAGGAAGCATTAACAGCGAGATCAGGAAATAAAGTGTCCGGAAAAGTATTAAAAAAAGAAGGCCTAGAAAAACTTGAAGGGCGTAAATCAGCTTAGTTTTACTAGTCCGGCTGTGTTCGGGTCGGAAAAGATCCGGAGTTAGTGGCTGTCGAGATGGGAAGGTTTGGGTTGACCAAGCAGGCCCAGGAAGGGCTGGCCTAACGTAGCGCGGGCCTGCACAAGCAGACACAAGTGCACGAGCCTGGGCTGTTTTTTCCTCCTTCCAACTATTTATTTTTATATTTTCTATCCTAAAATTAAGTGTGAAAATTATGAAAAAAATATATTATTATTTTTTTTAGTTTTACATATAGTTTGATGATCATAAAATATATATGATATATTTTAAAATTTTAGATTGAACACACACATATATATTATTTTTATTATTTAAAATTTGTTTCTTCAATTTATTATTTTTTATCAAAAATTAATCATGTATCTACACAGATAATATTAATTATTTTTTATTTATTTTTTTATATTTTAAATCAATAATTTTTAAATAAAATAATTGAAATGATATTTTATAAAATATAGCTTTTTATAATAATATTATTGATTGTTTTGTTAATAAAATTATATAAATCAAAAAATTCCTTCAATAAATAAATTTGATTTATATTTATCATAAAAATAAAAAAAACTTCTACTCATAGCAATTATTGACTTTATGCATTTAATGGTCTTCCAACAGCAACGTGGGGTAGGTATTCAACTAATATCTTCTTAATAGAATTTGACTTCTTTTCTTTTGTACATCTAATAAGTCGATGGCTGTTAATTCGCTGCACCTGAGCAGATGGATCCGATATTATATGATATGATCGCATCATGTGGTCTCACAAGGGCAAACTACGGCATCCGCACGATACCTCTCATGTGCAGAATATCTTTAGGGTAAATCTCGTAATAATCTCCTAATTATCTATAATTTCTCAACTGGGTGATCAAACTATCAAGTTTCTTAATCGAGTCCCTATAATATTAGACATTTCTCTATTAAATCCTTCCAACCACGTACATTCGTTAATGTTTTCCGGAAAATTTTAACGTTTTAAGTAAGAAAATGAAAAGAATTTCCACAAGAGAACCAATTGAGAAATGTATAATCCTTTCCTGGCCCAATTGAAAACTTGATAGTTTGGAACTGCATAATGAGAATCAGCTCATAATTGAGGACTACTTTGAGATTTGTCACTATCGTTATATTCATAACTCCGAAGAGTTGAAAGTAATCTTAGGATTACACACACTTTGTGACATATACCTAATGGAGGGCTCTTTAGATATATACAGAATGTTGTTATGATCTTTTTTTTTTTTTTTTTTTTTTTTTTTTTTTTTTTTCAGGTTCGTAGCTTACGATGACATCTTCCAATAACGATGTTTTGGATTTTTTTTTTAAAAAAAAAACATATTTTTATGATATTTTTAATATTTTGGATGGTCAATAAAAATTCATCATAACTCAAAGGAATAAATTATAAATTAGCCTTTTTAGTTTTTTTTTAAAGAATTAAATAGATTTTTTATTTTAAAAGCTAATTAATTAGTCTTTTCAACAGTGTTTACCATAATTAATTTAATTTCAAAACATATTTTTTTCTCATCAATTTTTTTATATATTTGTAATTATTGTTTTACTTTTGTATTTCTTAAAATAAAATAAATTGAAAAAAATAAAAAATAATTAAGTTACAAATATATTTAAATAGACAGACACTAATTAATTAATTTTTGAAATTAGAGCAATTATTTAATTCGTCAAAACAAGATGGACTAATTTATAATTTACTCTGCCTCAGGGAGGTTATCTTAATTTTTTTTTTTTTTTTTTTTTGGGCGGTGGGGGCGGCGGCAGCTTAGGATCTCGTCTATGCTTTTATTCTGTGGGCCTGCATGTCTGTGGGCCTAGTGTATTAAAATATAAATCCAAGTTTCGAAAAGGTTTCTTATTCTATGCACAAGAGGCGAAACTTTTGAGGAATTTTAAAGAATTATATATATATATTGTAAAAACTTGGTGAGAAACAATAACCACCATCGTAATTGGATGAAAAATTTTATAATACTCAAAGAGTAATTATTAACACATACGGTAGTTATTTCATGATCCTACTTGAAGGAAAGAGATAAACATAAAAAAAGAGAGAATTTTTTAAAAAATTGAACGAATGTGAAAATCTTCTTACTTTTATGTGTTTATCTCTCTCATTCGATTGGATTTATGGAGTAACTACCGTACATGTCACTAGTTACTCCTCGAATATTATAAAATTTTTCTTAATCGAACCATCTAATTATATGAAAGTTAGCAAATCAATGTTCAATTGCTATGCTAATAGATTCTATTACTAAGTTAACGGATATGTAAATAATATATACTATGTTAAATTTATTATTTTGTTAACCATCGTGTCAACAAACTTAATACTTATCTGCTAATTACTACAATAATATATTTTTAGACATAAATAAGTTGAAATCCGTTTTATATTATATAAACGACTATTGGAAAATAAATAAATTTTCAAGGGAAATTACTTTTTCAGGAATTACATACATCTGTGTGCAATTTCAATTAAGTCACACAACATTAAAAGTTTGTCAATTAGATAAATGCAAACAATAAAATTTTTGTGTTAAACTAAAAATGTTTACTCTTTATACATATTCAAGTGAGTTATAAACCCGTAGGGTTAAATTACATCTCGTATCTTTGTATTATATCGAAAATATTGTTGCAAAATCTCCATCCATATATAGTTCATAAAAAAACCTTGTACTCGTTGAAATTTGATGTAAAACATCTCTCTCGTTAGCTTTTTCTATCAAATTGATCAATTTCTATTTTGACCAATTAAATTATAACACGTGTCAATTTAAAATTAAAAATATAATTTTCTTTTAAAATCATTTTGTAAGTTAATATAATTAATAATTATTATAAAATAATTAAAAATTGTAAAAAAAAATCTAATGAAATATTTCAAATATGAAACATTTTATTTTCAATTTTTAATGATTTTATAATAATTATTAACAAACAAAAATTTTAAATATATATATATATATAAAGATTTTTTTAATTTCATAATAATTATCAATAAATAATTTTTTCACAAAAATTTAATTTTTTTATTATTAATAAATAATTATATATATATATATATATATATATATATATATATATATATATATATATATATATATAAAGAAAATTTTAATGATTATTAATTATTTTAATAAAAAAATTTGATTATTAATTTTTTAATTTCTTTTAAAAATTTCTCTTTATAATTTTTTAATTTATTTATTAATTATAAAATCATTAAAAATTAAAAAAATAATTTCTTTAGAGTTTTTTTTTAAATTCCTTTAATGATGATTATTAAAAAATCATTTAAAAATAAAAAATCTGATTATTTTAAAAAATTTATTTAGAATTTTTTGTAGATTATAATTATTTGATAATATTATTAATTATTTTAACATAAAAAAAATGAAGGTAATTGTTTGATTGACACCAACGTTTGTTCCTTTTGCAAGAAAGTTGAGCACATGGCAAATAATTATTCGAAGAAGAGGTTGCACTTAGAGCCCCGAAGAGAGTGTACACGAAGACCCAAGAGCAAGCAGAGAAGGATCATGCAACGGTTATTTACAATAATGTTCTAATCTGTAATCTTATTGCATATATACTTTTATTGATTCGAGTGTCACACATTCATTCATAGCTTGGTGTTTGTTAAGAAAGTTGGGGGTTGTACTCGAGGCATTTGATATTATTTATGAGGTAGCTCTTTCGTCGGGTGAGGTATTAGAGTCTAAAGACAAGGTTCGAAATTATGAGTTAGGGATTGGGGATAGAGTTTTGAAGGTTGATTTGATTGTCTTGAGGATTCGAGATTTTGGTATCCTTTTAGGAATGGATAGCTTATCTAAACACGGAGCATCGATTGATTGTCTTATTAAAAAGACTTGAGTTTGATCTATCAAGGTAAAAGCTATTTGAATTTTGAGTCGAGAACAAGTTAAAAATAGTGAGCATATTCTCGACCATGACAACTTAGAAGATGGTCCGAAATGGTTGTTTGGGTTATTTAGTCAATGTAGTAGATATAAAAAATGGGGGCAAGACAAAACTTAAAGATATTGACGTAGTGAGGGACTTTCTAGATGTTTTTCCTAAGAGCTTGTCGGGGGTGCCACCAAAACGAGAAGATGAATTTAAGATTGAGCTAGAACCGTGCACGACACCAATTTTGAAAGTATCGTATAAAATGACACCTATTAACACCTAATTTTTGCCTTTGTTATTTTTTATTTCTATTTCTATTTTTATTAAAAATATATCAAAATAATAATAATAATAATAATAATAATAATAAAAAACAAGACAAAAAGAAACTACTAAGTATAAAAAAGATTAAAAAAAATCAATTGAAACAAATAGCTTAGATTAGTTCCGGGAGGGGGCTAATAAAAAAAAATAGAAAGTTTGGAAAAAAAAAAAGAAAAGAAACAATTGAGGATATAATTAAAAAAACCCAAAACTTTAGTCTCTTAATTAAATTGAAGAAAGGACATAATTGAAAAAAATAAAAAGAAAAGTCCTAATTAATTTAAGTTTAAAGGTCCCATCGAAACGAACAATCAAAATCGAATTTAAATCAATGGATTATAGACAAACAAGGACCAAAACAAACTTTTTACCAAAAATAAAAAAATAAAAAACCTACAAAAGCTTATCCCTTGTATTTTTTTATACTATCTACCGTTGATCCCCCACATTTTTTTCATCTAGCTGACTTTTTCTTCACTATAATATAAGCCTTTCTCATCCCATACCAACTCTACTCCCCTCGCGGCAACCCCTTTGCGCAACCATTGCCCACCGACCTTACTCGTCATAGCCTCGCAATAGCCCACACCACCAGCCTTCTTCATTGCAGCTTCATAATAGCCCTTCACACTCATTGTCCATCGATCTTTCTTGTGTAACCATCAAATAGTCCCTCGTAATAACCTTGTGCACGTGCCATATACGCGTCAATCCTCGTAGTCCTTACAGCCTAACAATGTACTAGGGTACCTAGCAAGCCTCCCGCCTTGTATGTTAGTGCCATCGGCCTTAGTGCCAATCTCTGCAGTCCTCACGACTAGTAGTGTGCCAACGTGCCTAGCGAAGCCTCCCGGCTCACACGATGGTGCGATCGGCTTTAACGCTAGTACTCGTAGCCTCACGGCCCCCTCTCCCATCTCATAGCTCTTTATACACCCACTAGTATTGATCTAATAGCTCCTCATGGAGCCCATAACACTAGCTCCTTGTAGCCGGTAGCTCTCACGGCGCCTCCCACGGTTGCCCTCGCAGTTCATAACTTTCCCATGCTAGTGCCTCCCATAGTCCCTAATGCCAAGTAGCAGTAGTTAGGCGGCCCCTCGAGCCGGACAGCCCCTCCAACGACCAAGCAACCTTGCCTCGAGTGCCAGCGACCAATCAACCATGTTCCATAAAAAAAGAATTATTGTTTAAATGTATTGTGTTGAGCAAGAATGATATGATGTTGTAGATCGTGTTTTTATTAGTTTTTGATAGAAAAAACACAACAAAAACTTTATTGCCAAACCCCTTAAGTTGCGGTAATATTGATAATTTTCAAAGAAGTGGAAGATTTTTAGAGTTACCGTAAAATTTACAACAACTTTGGTAAATTTATAGCAACTTTGATAACATTATCAACTTTAGTTATTTACGCCGACCTTGAAAAGACTTTTAGTCACTTTAGTAGGACCCATACAACATTTTAGCAATGGGTAGCTTCTCTTCTTTCCTAGTTAGTTAACTAATTGATTATCATCGAAGAAAAAAGAAAAGAATTTACCCACAAATCGGACACTTGAACTATATAACTTTTCCGGGTAAAACTTATATAATGATTGTATTTTTTAAAAGATGAATGAAATAGTCATATTTCATTATGATATCCATAATTGATGTTATAAATGAATTATCCCATTTTAAATATCTATAATTTTGATATGGGTTTGTACCTATTTTTGTGGTTTGATTGATTTATCATACTTGATCGTAATGTGCCTAAATGTGTAATGGTCATATCCGAGGCATATTATGGAATTGCATCATTTTTTAAAACTATTCTACGTACATTCCGTTTGTCAAAAATCGGGCCATTAATGACTTCCCACCTATGTCGATGAAGTCACCGATGGCCCCAAAACCATTTTTTCCCAAAAAATTTTTATATTAATAACTTTTCACTTATGTGACCAAGCCATCAACAATTTCGACATCATTTTTCATACGTTTTGTTTTTCCAAAAATTGGCCACTCGATGGCTTTTCACCTATGTGAACGAAGCTGCTAGTAGCTCTCGAACTAATTTATTTGCTTTCTATTCATTTAAAACAAAACTACCGGTAGCTTTCTACTTATGTGATAAAGCCGCTAGTAGTTTCAAAGTCTTTTTAGCTTCTTTTATTTGCTCCAAATAAAGTCGTCAATGGCTTTCTATTTATGAAAACAAAATCACTAATGGCTTTCGAATCAATTTTTATTTAATTTTGAATTATTGAAACGAAGACATCAATGGCTTCCTACTCGTTGCAAAGTCTGCTAGTGGCTTTGAAATTATTTTATTTATTATTTGCTTGTCTAAAAGAAAACCATCGAGGGCTTTTCACTTATGTGTCGAAGTCATTAGTGGCTTCTCAACCAGCTTATCCGCTTTATGCTTAAGCAAAATGAATTTATTGGTAACTTTATACTTGTGTGATGAAGTTGTCGATAGGTTTCCAAACTCATTATCTAAATTTAATGACGACTTCCTACTTGTATGAGTGAAGTTGTTGATGATTTCTTATTGATAATAGGTCGTGTTCACAAAAAACTAATCGAAATTCTAACTTCCCCATCTTTTCTTTTTCAGTAGGGGGTATTGGCTTTAGATCGGCCTAAACCTTTAAACTATTATGTTTTTACATCTTAACGAAATAAACTTTCTTAAATAGGTATAGAGGCATAACATAATAAAAAAATAGATTTTTATTTTCATATATAAACAATGCAATCTACCTTAAGTAGGACGAGATGACGGTGATGTTATATCCTTTCTATATGTAACCGACCCCTTACCCAAATATCCATGTAGACTAGAATGTTTAGAGTTTTCTAGTTCTCTCTAATCATCTAGGTGGTGGATCCTTGTTCGCTAGGGATTTCATCCCCCTCATGGGTCGACGTTGGCAACACTCGCGGAGCTTAAGGAGTTAAAAATCTAATTATAACATTTATTAAACAAGGGTTATATTAGACCAAGTGGTTCAGCTTGGAGAGCTTCTATGTTGTTTGTGAAGAAGAAGGATGGAATGTTACGGTTGTTTATTAACTATCGTGATTCAAACTAAGTTACTTTTAAGAACAAATATATGCTTCCTTATATTGATAACTTGTTTAATCAGTTGAGAGGTAGCATAGTGTTCTTAAAAATTGATTTACAATTCAGGTATGATTAGTTAGAGGTTAGAGATGAGGTTGTGAAGAAGATGACTTTTCGAACACGATATTGGCATTATGAATTTTTGGTGATACCGTTTGGGTTAATCGGTGCCCCGTGATGTTTATGGATTTGATGAATTGTGTTTTTCAAAAGTACTTAGACAACATCATTGTGTTCATTGATAAAAATTTGATTTACTTTAAGAATCAAAAAGAGCATGTCAAGTATTTACGGACTTCGTTGTAAAATTTACGAGAGCACAAACCGTAGGCTAAGTTCAAAAAGTATGCATTTTGGCATAAGCAAGTATCACTCCTTGGGCATGTGATTTCTAAATATGGGGTTATGGTGGATCCAAGCAAGGTTGAGATAGTGCAAGGATGGAAGTAATTGAAAAATATATTCTAATTGAGGAGCTTTCTTGACATGGAGGGTTACCATCGTAAGTTCGTCGTAGAATTTTCAAATTTTATAGCCCCATTTACCATGTCGATGAGGAAGAATGCCAAGTTTGTATGGGATAATGAGTGTGAGAAGAGCTTTCAAGAGCTAAAATTCAAATTGACTTCGTATTGATTTTGGAACTTTCATCGAATAATGAAGATTTTATCATTTACATCAATACATCAAAGATTAGGCTTAGAACTATTTTGGTACAGAGCTAGCTCGGTAATTGCTTATTCTAATAATTGAAAGACTATGAAAAGAACTATTTAAAGCCGACAACCGTGGTGTTTGTGTTGAAAGCATGGAGCCACTACTTGTACTAGCCTCGATGTGAAATTTACACCTATCACAAAAGCCTCGAGTATATTTTCATACAAATAGAGTTGAACATGAGGAAACGAATATGACTTGAAGTGCTAAAGGATTACAACGTTATTTTCCATTATCACTTGAGAAATATGAAAATCATCGCGGATGTATTGAGTTAAAAGACATGGATTGTATTGTAAGGAAAAACCATCAATGATTTAGAAAATTTATGGCTAGAAATTCTATCTAGAGAGGCCGAGTAACAATGTGGTATGTTTAATGGTTTTGGTTAAGATTTGAGGTCGAAGGTAAAACAGCTTATAAAATTTAGACTTGACCAAAATTTGGTAGATAGTGGCGAGTGGGGTAGAAGTCAAATCTTATCGTGGATGATGATGAAGTTCTATGCTACCGTAGTAGATTATGTGTCATAGCTAAAATGGAATTACGTTAAGACATTTTACGAGAAGTTAATGCTACATCGTATACCATGCATCTCGATAGTACAAAGATGTATCGGAACTTAAAAAAGTTCTATTGGTGAAATGGTATGAAAATAGATGTTGTTGAATTTGTGGCCAAATGTTTGATATGCCAATAAGTCAAGATTGAACACCAAAGACCCTCCGGTTTATTAAGGTCGCCGGATATGTCCGAATGGAAATGAGAACACATCACCATGGACTTCATATTTGGGTCGTTAAAGTCAAAAAAAGAGGACATATGACATTTAGGTAATCATGGATTGATTGATGAAATCGATTCACTTCCTTATGATAAAGTCGACGTACATGATGTAATAGTTTGCTAAATTATATCTAAGGAAAGTTTTGACGTTGAATGGCATGTTAATGTCGATAATGTCGGACCAAGACTCGTAATTTACATTGAATTTCCGAAAGAGCTTGCATCGAGCCATGGGGAAGAATCTAAATTTTAGCATAACATTCCATCCATAAATAGATAGGTAGACCAAAAGAGTGAATTAGGTTACTAAAGACATGTTACGGACTTGAGTGTTTGATTGGTCCGTAAGGTGGGAAAGACACTTATTGTTGGTTGAATTCTCATATAATAATAGTTATCGAGCTAGTATTGGTATGTCATCATACGAGGTATTATATGAAAAAAAATACCGATCTCCTATACATTGAAAAGATGTTGGTGAGAGAAAAATGCTTAAGACTAAGATGATGTAACAAACTATCAAGGTCATAAACCGAGGTCAAAATATGGATAAAAACGACTTAAGATCGATAAAAAAGTTATACTCGACAAAAGGATGAAAGACTTAGAATTTTAGCTTCGAGGACAATGTGTTTCTAAAGATTGCTCATATGAAAGGAGTGATGCAGTTTGAAAAGAAAGGGAAGTTAAGCTCGTAGTACATAAGGCCATTTAAAGTTTTGGAATGAGTCGGCGACACGACTTATCGATTGGTTTTGTCTCTCGTCTCTTGTTACGAGTGCATAATGGTTTTCATATCTCTATATTGTAAAAGTACATCAACAATCCGAGCCATATCTTAAGAATCAAGTCGTTGGAATTAAAATCGATTTAAGCTGTAGGGCTTGTTTAGATTTTAGGTCGAGCGGTTAAGCAACCAAGAAATAAGTTCATTTCATCGATTATGGTTTTGTAAAGAAATCATAACTTAGAAGAGGCTACGTGGGAAAGAGAGGTCGAAATGACGGTTAAGTATACTAAGTTGTTTGAAGTCAATTTCGAGGATAGAATTTTTGGTAAGGAATGGAGGATATAACAACCGAGACCCCGGGCATGGCATATGCATATATATGCGTGTGTGATTTACTTGATATTCTATACCTATATTTATGTTTTTGAAAATTTTTGTATCGTGACATGTCGACTTATGTCGATGAAAACTACCAAATCGTGACTTGTGATTTTCGTTGATGATTTTTATGTCTTGTTTTATGCTTCATTTTCGAATGTTATGCCTTGTTTGCCCTTAATATTATAAGTATATTTTATATGTGATCTTGAGAAAATCCTATAGTGATTCATGCTTAATTAAGGGGTCTTATTGAATTAATTGAACATGTGAGAAAGGGGTTAATTTATCTTGAGATTAGTGGAAAGTTAAATGTCATAAATTTAGGCTTGCATGGGTGAGTTGGCTAAGGAGGTGTCATCACTTAGGATTTTTGGCCATTTCTTTATAATTGGGTTAATATTATAAATAGATGGAAGTTTTCTTTGGTCATTTATTCTTACAAAGGAAAAACATATAGAGAGAGAGAGAGCTTGAGAGGGAGCTAGCCGAGAGGGAGCAAGCTTTGGGAAATTATCCGAGAGCTAAGAAAAAGGGCAAGGTAAAGTTCTTGAGGTATCTTGATGTATTTTCCTTTATCTTTAGCTTGTCCAAGTAAGTGTAACTCTCATCTTTATCATAAGACCTAGTATGTATGAGTTCCATTGATGAGAGATTATGAACATTCCTATTTTATTATTATATTTTGGGTGAATTCTTACCGAATTGATAGACAATTGCTTGATGTTTTGCTTTGAATGAATTGTCCTTAATTTCTATAAGCATGATGAGGCATGTTACTTGGATAGTTTGTGTGAATTCTTATCAAATTGATGGATAAATGCTTAGTGCCTAAATTTTTGTAGCTTATATGAATTCTTGATAAATTGACTTTGAACTTCTTGAACTCATGATATGGTATTGACATTAGATTTCATGAACTCATATTTTAAACAAGTAAAGTGGTCAAGTGTATGGAATGATCTTGTGTATACCTATGGTTGGCTCTCGACTTAGACTATGTCTAGTTTACGATGTTTTTGTTAAGGTTTTAAAAGAATGCCAAATCGGACATTCAATGGAGCATGTTTGAAAGATAGAAAATGATTTTTGTCACTAAAACATGTTTAACAAACTCATGCATGGTTGATGCCTAATGCATATGAGTTCCAAGTAAGTGGAACTCTTACCTACACACAAGACCTATATGTATGAGTTCCATTGATGAGGGATTATGAACATCTCTATTGAATTGTTGTGTTTTGGGTGAATGTTTGCCAAATTAATGGACAATTGCTTGATGTTTTGCTTTAAATGATTTGCCTTTAATTTTTGTAAACATGATGAGGCATGTTGCTTGGCTAACTTGTTTGAATTCTTACCTAATTGATGGATAAATGCTTAGAGCCTAAATTTTTGTAGCTTGTATGAATTCTTGCCGAATTGATGGACAAATGCTTGGTGCCTAAATTTTCATAGCTTGTGCGAATTCTTTACCAAATTGATCGACGAGTTGCTTAGTGCTTAAATTTACATAGCATTGTGGGATGAATTCATGATGAATTGACATTGAACATCGTGAACTCATGATATGGCATTGACATTATATTTTATGAACTTGTGTTTTAAGCAAGCAAAAAGGTCTAGTGCATATTCATAGAGAGGCCACTCACAGGAATGATCTAATGTATACCTTAGGGTTGGCTATTGGTTAGACTATGTCTAGTTTACAATGTTTTAGTTAAGGTTTTAGAAAAGAGTCGAATCGGACATTCAGCAGAGCATGTTTGAAAGACAAAAAGAATTTTCATCATAAAACATGTTTAACAAACCCATGCATGGTTGCACTTATTGAGCCTTGGCTTATGGTTTGTATCTTATGGTGTAGATGATTGTAACGAGGCCTAGAGCATGCTCGTCACATTGGAGGTGTTGCTTGGATCGATTTTGAGTTTGCTAGAAAATGTAATATAGACATAGGTTTTAAGTTCGTAGTCTAAACATTATCCATGTAATGTGCATTGTCTAGTTTTGATTTGTAAAAGTGATGTATAGATAGCATTTTCAATCATGACAATATATAAACTAGTTGATGTTTTATGAAATAAAGCTTTGTTTTGCAAAACTTGAGTTGGCCTAATTTACATTGAATGTTTTATGTTATAACATGCTTTTTTTTGTTGACAAAATATTTTTATGTCATGACATGAAAATTTACATTGACTATTAATAAGTTGAACTAAGACTCGCCAAAAGTTTAATTCTATGTTTTTGAGCTTTAAAAAGAAAAGTTTTATCCGCTATGCATTTCATATCCCATACGAGGTCAAATGTCATATGACGTCGTAGTGCATTCGATGAGCATAGAACATGGTCACAATGCATAGCCTTTGTTGGTCGAGCGTATCACGGTTGCATCTAGTGCTCTATGAATGTTCGATATTGTCATAACACTCGTGGCCTCCTCTCTTGGCCCGCAGATGATGCAGAGGCTCAAAACTAATTTTAATAAAATAATAATATTTTTATTTTTAAGTTGAGATGTGTCATCATTTGATTGATCGGACGTTAGTCAATTAACAAAAATTCGTCAATCTAATGAAAAAAATTAACGAAATGATTGTTTTGAACCAATTTCTAATAGTATAAAGTTTGTTATGAACTATATGTAGATAGAAAGATTACAATAATATTTTTGATATAATACAAAGAGACAAGATTTATTTAACCTTAAATTTGTAAGATGATGGTTCGATGTGTATCTCAACAATAAATAAATTTGAGTCTTAGCAACATTCAAGAACATTATTTCAACGGTAATTATGACTTTTTTTTCGTAACTCAGAAACACCAACTACTTAGGATGGATACAGTTAAAACATGGGGTTTCAAGCCTCCCACATTCGTAGAACCGAAAAGGACATAAGCATTGAGGTGGCCGTAAAAAGACATGAGAAGTGTGAGAAGTGGGATTTGAAACTTAAATCTCAAGTTAGAAGTCTAGAACTACTGCCAGTTAGCCAATCTTTATGGCGGTTGGATAAACTACTGCCACTTAGCCAATCTTTATGGTGGTTGGATAATTGTTAAGAGCCTTATTTAATACAATTACCCTTGAATAGCTTAAACACCTCCTCCAGCTGCATCATATTTCCTTATCACATGCATTTTCTTTTCTTTTCTTTTGAGAAAATTAAGAAATTAAGAATACTTTTCATTAAAAAAAAAAAAGAAAGAAATTAAGAACACTCGCTATAATTATATGGATCGATCTGCTCCTGTCCACATGAACCAGTCTTTTCCGATTATTTTAACCCCCATAGGTAGAATTCCGGCACGCATACCTAATTATAAGTAACATTAACTTGTTCCTAGCTAAGGAAACACTTTGAACTCAATACCAGATCCACCTAACTTTTCCTCTGCTAATTGGGATAGTTGCTTCACCATTGAAGGAGACAGATAATTCACCCAATCTCCCACTTCACCTTTCCTAAACAAGTGCTTATTTTCAAAGTTCTTAATAGACTTGCCAGTTTTGTTAACTTCTAAATCCTTCATCTTCTCAAAGCTACAAAGTCTGGCTATACCTTCCACCACACCTTCCTTTTCTTCTTCCATCGAGAAGGGGCAGCCAAGAAATTTGGCAATCTTCTTCAAGTAAAACGTAACATCTTCTTTCATGTCCTCATACTTCAAGAACAACACCTTGTCTGGTTTCTCCAAGCTTTCCTTCCAATATCCTAACATATGATCCCAAAATGGACCAAACCCTACCAACCCTTTGCAATACATTTTGAAAGTTTCCTCTAGTGCCAGTGGAGGAACATTTTCTGATCTCAGTTTGTTGCTGAAAATCCATGAGGAAATAAAAGTGTCAAAAGGGTTTCTACAGATATAAATAATCCGGCAATTGGACTTCTTGATGGAGTCTTGAAGTGAAGAAAAAGGAACGTGGGTGGCAAAAAGTCTGGGATCAGGGAGTTTTGAGAGGTCAGGGACTTGCTTGTTGGCATAAAGCTTGTACTCAAAGAAAGGTACAAGATCATGAGGATTAGAGGCAAGCAAAGGATGGTTATTACTAGAGATGGCAAATTGCTTGCGATTCATGATGGCAAAAGATAGGGCTTTGAGCCATGTAGTGCCTGATTTGGGTATTGATGCTAGGATAACATCAGTGTCTCTTGGTTGGAAGTGTTTCTGAAATGAGATTATTGCTTGAATTTCTTGTGGTTGGCACCAAAATCCTTGATATTTATAGATGTAAGGAGTTCTCCAACCTTTCTCTTTTGGCAGTGAAAGCAACAATTCCTTGCACTCATTGGTTAATTTCTCTAAATCCTCTCCGTGGCCATTTGCTTGATTTTTTGCGAATTGGGTGATGACCATGGAAGTGGTGATGGAAGTGGTGTTTGTAGTAGAAGTAGGCATATTGGTGCTTGAATTCAGAGATATCAAGGATAGGCAATTTGGTATGAAACATTAGCTTCTATACTCCTCCTTAAATAGTACTTGCATGTATAGCGAGTAGCAATTTATGATTTTGGTATAGGAGTTTGTAAAATGTTAAACATGCGTTCCATGTGGCCAATAATCTTCAGTACAGTGTTGTGGGCTACCTTCATATTTTTAATCTGCTCTATCTGGTAGGAAATTATTATGTCTACTTTTTAACAGCTATATCTATTATTTATTTTGAAAACAGAAGAAGTGATCAGACAAATTTTTATACCATGTCACGTAGATAAGTAAATTTTATACTTATTGGAAAAACAGCACAAACTTCATATTTTTTTAATTATTATATTATTACTTTTTTTAATATTTAACAAAAAATATATAAACTAAATTTATATTACCATATTAGCATATTTGATTTTTTTTATCAAAATTTCATTAACATCCGACGTATTAAGAAATTTTAGTTTTTATTGTCAATATTTTTTCTCCGTCACGTCAAATATAAATAAAATTTTGATTAAAAAATTAAACATGTTAATATAGTTAACAAAAAATTAATTTATGTATTTTTTATCTAATATCAAAAAAACGTGTTAATATAATTAAAAAATGTAAAGTTTATGCTTTTTTTAGTATAATACACCTAAATTTTATTCATTATTATGTAAATTGTTGATATTTTTTTTATCGACTAAACCAACTATTAATCGTCATATGTTTATAATATTTTAATATCTAATGATGTAAAGATAGGTGTATTTTATTTTTTATTTGTATATTATACAATAAATTAATATTAATTATATAAAAATAATTTAAAAAACCTAAATATTTAAATTATAAAAAATATATTTATAATTAAATTATTTAATTAGGGTCAGCGAACATTCGAATTCTAATTGTGATTAGAAATAATTCAATATTTGTGTTATCAAAACTGATCCCAAGAATATGGGGGTAATCTAGTAGTTTCATGTCGGAAAGTGACGACAGCGAAATTACGTCGGCTTGTAATGTGAACAAAATCCCCCATCCTTTTCCGTCATCACTAGTAGCTTGGTAATTCTAGTTACAGTGATTTACACCATGACTTGTGTCAGGTGTGGTTACATTGAGATTGCAACAAATTTATAATTAGAGAGGACAACAATCAATTTGTTTTTTTGTTATATTTTAGTTCTTAGTTGACAAATTATGATACTTTTATCATATTAATTAATTATAAAGCGTAAAATTTTATCAACTATGTATTTTATTAACTCGACCAAATTGATCACTTTCGTGTTTTGAAAAAATATATGTGCTCTCTTTTTAAATTCTTAATCAACAAAATTACTCAAGTTAGTTGATAATGAACTTGACGAAATTCTTTTTCCAATTTTTTTTTTATATATATATCTCATAACTAACAATTTTAATTACATTAGTTAATGATAGACTTGACATTTAAAGCTGACAAAGCACCATTATTTGTCATTTTTAAATTTTAACTTTGATAAATTTTGTTATTTCATCGCACTAAAACTAAGATGTCAAATCTTATAAATTTAACTAATTTGACAAAATTCATCACTTCGGTGTATTGAAAACAGGGTTTTTTTTTAAAAAAAATTCTAAATTGATAAAATCGATCAATTTAGTAAATTTGACCATTAAAGCTGACAATTCGTTTCGAGAAAAAAATATCAAACATTTGATCGATATTTCATCTATTAAATAAGTAAATTTAGTAGATAACTATTATAAATTTAACAGTTGATAATTTTAGGTAAGTGAATTCATGTAAGACAATGATGTTGTAAAAATAACAATGCCTTTTCATTTAGTCCTCCAACACTTCTAAATTTTTTTTATTAGTAAGCACATACTTTTTTAGAAAGTTTATTTCTTAAATCTTAAATAGTTTGACCAAACTAGGAAGATATGAAAAGTGGAGTGATCTTAGCTTAGATAAATAACTTTTAGTAATCTTAGTTGGAATTTTTTGAAGGGGCCTTTCCAAAGAACTATTCTTATTTTCAAATAGGGTATTCACGAAAAAGAAAATCCCAAAAATTTTGACATCCCTCATCATATTATCAATAATACTAGAGTAAAACATGGTTTTACTATTCATTTACTATTTGAAATAATATTCATACACTCCAAATCACTATTTTTTCACTATTCATGATATTTTTGTAACACTTTAGTTTTCAATTTTTTTTTTGAATTTTAAACTTTAATTATATTGCGATTTGATCCCATTTTATTTTAGTATTTTTTATTAATTATTTTTATTATTTAAAATTTACTACTTTAATTTGATATTTTTTTTAAAAAAAATTCTTTTTCTTTTTTCAATTTCAAACTTTAATTATATTATGATTTAGTCCCATTTTTTTTAGTGTTTTTTTAATTACTTTTATTATTTAAAATTTACTACTTTAATTTTTTATTTTTTAAAATTTACATCCAATTAATTTAAAATTATATTTACATATATTTTTTATTTATTTTTCTATATGTATGAATTTTGGAATAAATTTTTAAAACATGATTATTTTTTCTTTTGAAAAATAGATTTAGATAATTTTAAAATTACATTGGCATGATTAATATATATAATTTGTCCGAAATATATTTTTAGATTAAAAAAATATTTCAAATAATTTTTTCTCAGTTTTTTTATAGTATTTTAAATTTACTGCATTAATATTTCATTTTTTTAAAAAACAATCTTTTTTTTTCTCAATTTCAAACTTTGATTATACAGTGATTTGGTCACATTTTGTTTTAGTATTTTTTGTTAATTATTTTTATGATTTAAAATTTACTACTTTAATTTATCGTTTTTTTTAAATTCTCATCCAATTAATTTAAAATTATATTTACTTGACAGTTTTGATTTATTTTTCTATATGCATGGATTTTGAAATAAATTTTTAAAACATGATTATTTTTTCTTTTGAAAAATAGATTTAGATAATTTTAAAATTATATTGGGATGATTAATATGTATAATTTGTTTGAAATATATTTTTAGATTAAAAAAATATTTCAAATAATTTTTTCTCAATTTTTTATATTATTTTAAATTTACTACATCAATTTGTCATTTTTAAAAAAAATTCTTTTTTTTTCAATTGAAAACTTTGATTATATAGTGATTTGGTCCCATTTTTTTTAGTGTTTTTTGTTAATTATTTTTATTATTTAAAATTTACTACTTTAATTTGTAATTTTTTTAAATTATCATCTTATTAATTTAAAATTATATTTACTGATATTTTTTATTTATTTTTCTATATGTATAGATTTTAGAATAAAATTATTTTAAAAAAAATAGATTTAGATAATTTTTAAATTACAGTGGCATGATTGATATATATAATTTCTCCGAAATACATTTTTAGATTAAAAGTGTTTTTTAAATAATATTTTCTCAGTTTTTTATGTTATTTAAAATTTACTATATTGCTTTGTCATTTTAAAATTTTTTTTAAAAATTTCAAACTTTGATTATATTGTGATTTGGTCCCATTTTGTTTTAGTACTTTTTGTTAATTATTTTAATTATTTAAAATTTACTACTTTAATTTGTCATTTGTTTTAAATTCTCATCTAGTTAATTTAAAATTATATTTACTGATAATTTTGATCTATTTTTCTATATGTATGAATTTTGGAATAAATTTTTAGAACATGATTGTTTTTTCTTTTGAAAAATACCTTTAGATAACTTTTAAATTATAATGGCATGATTAATATATATAATTTGTCTAAAATACATTTTTAGATTAAAAGTGTATTTCAAATAATTTTTCTCATTTTTTTTAGAAAAAAACTCAAATTAATTAATTAATAGTTGAAAGTCAAATTAATATAGTTTTTTATTTTAATATTATTCATTCTTTTGTAAAGAAATTTATAAGAACTAAATTTATATTTTTTCAAAATTCGATATTCTCATCAACATTAAATAATAAAAAAATTTATTTATTCAATTCTATGTAAGCTTTTAATAATTGTTATTTATGTTTTTCAACACAATCTTATGGAATACTAAAGCTTTTTTAAAAAAATTATTTAATTTTTTTTGGTTAATAATCCATGGATTAACAATGATAAATCTGTTTTGTAAAGAAAAAATTATGAAAAACACAAATAAGAAATAGTTAAATACAAAATTTTTTTATTAAAAATTATAAATAATTTTTTTCATCTTTGATTTCGTATATTTTTATATATTCACACTATAAAATAGACTATCAAATTGAAATAATTTCTCTAAAAAATTTTATATATTTTATCCAATCAACAGGATAGGATAGGTAAAAATAATAATAGTAATAATAATATTACCTTAATCTCTCTGCACCTTTTTGATAGCTACCGCATTCAAAATTTGATAATTGTTTGTTTTCTTTCTTTCCGTTATAATTTAAATGCGATGTCTGATTGACTATTTTTTTTTCTCCATGTGACACCATGTAAGCCCATATAACCTCAAAACCCTTGGATTAATTAAAGGCCGGAGATGCTATAGATTAATCGGGGAATACGGTGTCTTCTTTATTTTGCAATTCTCTATTATAGTTTTTTCTTCTTTGAATTGAGATTTTTGATGAGAGTGGAGGGTGTCGAGTGAAAGAAAAAAAGTTTAATACTCTCATCTATTTTTATATAATAAATTAATTTTTCAATCCGTTTGTAAATTTTAAAATCACTCTAATCTATTTTCATTATTTGATGAGCTGGTTTATAATGTCTTCTTCCAATTAATTTTTTTTTATCAAACCACTCGAAAATATCACATGACTTACACACGATTTATATTTTGACAAAAATGTCCCTTGTAGCTTAATATGTTAAGTTTTTAAGCTATCATTATCTAATGAGTTGAGTTTTCAATCTGTCCTTAATGCTAAAGAGTTTATATTATATATCCTTACTATTAATTTTTCTAATAATGTGTTGCAAATTTTATG